GAGATTCTACCTTTCTCTGTGCCCTTTGGATATAGGCTCCCTCTTGAAAGCTTGAAAGCCAGTAATTTCTTGTCTTCGTAGTTATTGATATTTTTAAAAATATATACTTAGTTAGGCTATCTTATCTGCATATTTTACTTCAAGATAATAAAGGGGATATTGTAAAAGGCTTATTACAAAAAGAATGTTGTTTATAATCATTGTGACATATCAAGTGACTTATAAAGTCAAGCTAGAAAAATTTAATACAGTCACAAAACATTTCCAGCTTACCTGTGAGGGCTCAAGGGGCTTTTCCCATCATCTGAAATAGTGAGAAGACACAATGGTTGGTTTAAAAAAAAAATGAAGGCGAAAGATCCGTGATAGCAATCACTGGAGAAAGTTAGTCGATTGATTTACACATGGGCTGATTATAAGGGGCACATTGGGAAGGATCTCTCCTTGAGGACCTAAGAGGTAGGCCATCTCTGTTGTTGTTAAGTACTGTGGAGTCAGTTCTGACCCATAGCAACTTTGTATAAGGTTTCTAAGGAACGTCTGGTGAGCTTGAATCGCTGACCTTTCTGTTCAAACTGACTTCGCAGTCCAGCCCATTAGCCCACAGCACCACACTAGGACTCCTTTGTTGTTGTGAAGTGCTGTCAAGTTGATTCAGACTCGTACAGGGTTTCCGAGGCTATAAATCTTTACAGGAGCAGAAAGCCTCATCTTTCTCCCATGAAACAGCTGATAGTTTTGAACTGCTGACCTTAAGGTTCGCAGCCCAATTCGTAACCACTACACTACCAGAGCTCCTCAGGACTCCTTAGGATTCAGGAAATATTCAACTATTTAACTCCAGAATCCTCTGGCCTTCTTCCTCCTTCCTCTCAGTGAAAACCTCTCATGCTTCTGGTCTTTGCCTTCAGGTTCTGCCCTCCTTCCCTCTCTCCATCCTGCCCTCCTTCCCTTCTTATCTTTTTATTATTGTTGTTTATATCATTGTTTCTTGCAACTTTTGTCGTTGGCATTTGTACTACAGTAACCTGTATGCCACTTTCTCAGCCATCAGGTGAGCAAGATCATTGCATCAACAAATCCATACTCACATAGCGGTAAATATTTCCCTCTAAAATAACATATGCGATCAGAGTTCTTCTGTCTTAATCCAAGCATCAGACTCTAATAATAGGAACTTTAGACATTATAGAAGGCCTGTTAATTATCCCATGGGAAGATCATAGCTAAATTAGTTTAGGAAATATTAGGTTCAACAAAGATTGACATATTTCTTTATTACAAGGTATTAGTGAACCCTCATTGTGAGAATGCATGTGCATTTTGAATTTGCAGAAAGTGGGCATAAATCATAGAATCCTAGAAATCTGAAACCAGACTTGTGCCTGCCCCTGTTAGGGATAAGGCAATGCGGGATAATACACTGGACCACAAGGTCAGTTTGAAATGCAAGGTCACAGTTCAAATTCAATAGCCGCTCCTCAGGAACCCTATCCAGGGATCACTATGAGTCAGAGTTGACTCGATGGCACTTAACAACAACAGTGAAAACTGACTTAGTATTGAATACACTGGAGGCTGGGTGACTGTTGCTCTCTTCACTGTTCAGAGGGCTCCTTGGAAATGTCTTAAACCAAAGAAAGAAGTTGATGGGGAAGTCAGAATGCTGTGATTGCTACATGATTATGGGATTGAGAATCGGGTCTTGGGAGATTTTAGGATTTTGTTAGGCAAGCAAGCATTTTGTATCTCTTGGTGCATGTAAAGAGAATGTTGGTCTAGCAAAGAATATTGCACACTGTTTGCTATTCCCAGTCGGTGCAAATGTTAAGCTCTTGACTACTAGCCATACAGTTCAAACCCCCCAGTTATTGTTAAGAGTTTTCTAATTGGTTATGACTCATAGCAACCCTATGTAGGGTTTCTGAGGAGCAATTGGTGAGTTTGAATTGCCAGCCTTCTGATTCAAACCAAACTTTTGCTCCAGTGCTTACCCTACAGCACCACACCAGGAACCCCACCCAGGGACACCTCCAAAGAAAGGCCTGGTGATCTGCTCTGGAAGGTCACAGCCTTGAGAAGTCTATGAAGCAGTTCTACTCTGTACACATGTTGTTGTTTGTTGTTGTTAAGTACCATGGAGTGAGTTCCCACTCATAGTGACACTGTACAGGGTTTCCAAGTCTGTAAATCTTTACGGGAGCAGAAAGCCTCATCTTTCTCCCACGGAACAGCTGCGGCTGGTAGTTTCGAACTGCCAACATTGAGGTTAGCTGCCCTATTCATAACCACTATGCTACCAGAGCTCCTGACTCTGCACACTTGGGTACACATAAATCAGAATTGACAGCACCTAACAACAACATTGTAGTAGTCACACACTCACATAAGAGTATAAGGCATTTAGGAAACCAGTCACCTTGTAGTGCTGTCTTTGTGATTGGAGTTGTTGTTGTTGTTATGTGCTGTGGAGTTGATTTCGACTCATAGCGACCCTATACAGAGTTTCCAAGGCCGTAAATCTTTATGGGAACAGAAAGCCTCATCTTTCTCCCGCAGAACAGCTGGTAGTTTCGAACTGCTGACCTTGCGGTTCGCAGCCCGATTCATAACCACTACGCTACCAGAGCTCCTTTGACAAGATAAATGATTCTTCCCTGGGGCAGTTAACTAAAGGTATTGAAACTCCTAAATTCAATGAGAACTCTGTTAGGTATTTTAACATAACAATTTCTGATTAGCTGGATTTGACTACTCCTGACTCTTCTGATGCCGGAAGTTAATTTCCATGGGGAGCCAAGTGGAAGAAGGGCCTCATTAGTCTATAAACTTATGGGAAGGTTAAACATCTGAAGCAGATAAAAATGTTTTAAACCCTAAGAGATGGACTGTCCCATTCTTTTATCTTAGACCAAAGCTCTTTTTTTCTGATAAATCAAGGGGTATACAGTCATGGACATAGCCAAACACCTCATGAAATGTATTTTCTATGTTCAAAGGCAAAGGACCAAAGACTAAGGGAACAAATTCATCCATTTGGGTTACTTCCCTGTTGAAATCCCTCATCAATTCCATAATTTTCTAGACAACGTGCAGATTCCTTAGCCTGTCACACTGGCTAAGAAACACATGAATAAATGCTCATGATCACAGGCCGTTGTTGTTGTTGTTGTCAAGTGCTGTCAAGTTTCGACTCACAGTAACCCTGCTGTATAGGGTTTCCGAGGAGCAGCTGGGGGTTTAAACAGCCAATCTTGTATTAACAATCCAGAGCTTACCATACAGCACCACACCAGGACTCCCATTAGTCATTGTTGTTGTTGCTAACTACCGTCAAATCATTTCTGACTGTAATAATTAGGGTTCTATGACAACTTCACTAGACCAGGATTTCCAGAGATTTAGCACTTAGGATGTGCTTATTCCCATGGTGATGACACCTAATACAGGCATACTTAGCTCTATGATGAGTCACTCTGAGCAGCCAGTCAATTAAAGGGATGCTTCCTTGGGGGTGTGGCCTGTTCCCAATATAAAGGACATGCGGGAAAGGCTCTTTCTCTCTTTTCCACTGGAGACCTGGGACTGACTCTGCAATTGTAAGTCATTTCCTTGATAATAAACTTCTTTATACATATGTATGTTTCACTGGTTTTGCTTCTCTAGAAAACTCTACCTAAAACAGCGACCCATAACAACCTTATGCAAAACAGAATGAAACACCACCCAGTCCTACGCCATCCTCACAATTGCTGCTATGCTTGAGACCATTGCTGCTGCCATTATGCCAATCCATCTCATTGGGGGTTTCCCTTTTGTTTGCTGACCCTCCACTTTACCAAGCATGATGTCATTCTCCATGACTAGTTCCTCCTGATAGTAGTCCGAAGTATGAGAGATGAAGTCTTGTCGTCTTGGCTTCTAAGGAGCACTCTGGTTGTCCTTCTTCCAACACAGATTGGTTGTTCTTCTGGACGTCCATGGGACTTCTGCTCCAACATCATAATTCAAATGCATCAATTCTTCCAAGGTCTTTCTTATTTATTGTCCAACTTTCACATGCATATGAGGCTACTGAAAATACTGCGGTTGGGGTCAGGCTCCTTTAGTCCTCAAACTGGCATCTTTGCTCTTCAATACTTTAGCAAGTTCTTATGCATCAGATTTGCCTAATGCAATACATCATTTGATTTCTTGACTGCTGCTTGCATGATGGTGGATCAAAACAAAATGAAGTCTTCGACACATCAATCTTTTCTCCATTTATCATGATGCTATTTATAGGTCCAATGCTAAGGATTTTTGCTTTCGCTACAATGAGGTGCAACCCATATTTAAGGTTGTAGCCTTTGGTCTTCATCAGTAAGTATCGTAAGTCCTCTTGACTTTCAGCAAGCAAGGTTGTGTCATCTGCATATCGCAGGTTGTTAATATGTCTTCCTCCAGTACCAATGTTCTTCTTCATATGATCCAGTTTCTCGGATTATGTGCTCAGCATACTGGCTGAGTAAGTATGGTGGAAGAATACAACCCTGGTACACACCTTTCCCAATTTTAAACCATTCAGCTTCCTCTTGCTCTGTTCGAATGATTGCCTCTTGGTCTATGTACAGGTTCCTCATGAGCATAATTAAGTGTTCCAGAATACTTATCCTCAGAAATGTTGTCAATAGCTTGTCATGATCCAAAGAGTCAAAAGCCTTTGCATAGTCCATAAAGCACAGGTAAACATCTTTCTGGTATTCTATGCTTTCAACCAAGATCCATCTTATGTCAGCAATGTCTCTTGTTCCACATTCTTATCTGAATCTGGCTTGAACCTCTGAAAGTTCCCTGTCAATACACTGTTGCTTCTGTTTTCAATTATCTTTAGCAAAATTATACTTGCATGTGATATTAATGATACTGTCCAATGATTTCTGTATTCCATTTGGTCACTTCTCTTTGGAATGGGAACAAATATGGACCTCTTCCAATCAGTTGGCCAGGTGGCTGTCTCCCAAGTTTCTTGGTATACATGAATGAGTACCTCCAGTGCTGTATCAGTTTATTGAAAGATTTCAATTTGTAGTCCATCGTTTCCCAGAGCCTTGTTCTCTGCCAGTGCCTTTAGTGCATCTTATTCAGTACCTTTGGCTCTTAATCATATGCTATCTCTTGAAATGGTTGAACATAAACTATTTCTTTTGGATACAGTGACTCTAAGTATTCCTTCCAACTTCTTTTGATGCGTTCTGCATCATTCAATATTTTGCCCAAAGAATCCATCAGTATTTCAAGTCAAGGATTGGATTTTTGCCTCTGTTCTTTCAGCTTGAGAAATGTTGAGTGTGTTCTTCTCTTCTGTTTTTTCTAACTCCAGTAGCCATTAGAGAGATGCAAACTAAAACTACAGTGTGATATCATCTCACCCCAGCAATTAAAAAAGAAAGAAAGAAAAACACTAATGTTGACAAGGTTGTGGGGATATTGGAACTCTTATACACTGCTGGTGGAAAAGTAAAGTGGTATAACCATTATGGAAAATGGTATGATGCTTCCTTAAAAAGCTGGAAATAGAAATACCAAATGAACCAACAAACGTACTCCTAGGTACATACCCTAAAGAAATAAGATCCATGACATGAATAGACATATGCACACCCATGTTCATTGCAGCATTATGCACAAATATGGAAACAACCTAGTGTCCATCAATGGATGAATGGATAAATGAATTGTAGTACATACAATGGAATACAGTCCAATGATAAAGAATAACAACAAATCTTTAACCATCTCACAGCATGAATGAACTTGGAGAACATTATGGTGATTGAAATAAGTCAATCACAAAGGAACAAATACTGCATAAGAGCAATTATATATTTAAAAAAAAAACAAACAAGAAAAGGTTCATACACAGAAAAAAAAGTTATATGATAATTACCAGGGGTAGGAGAGGAAAAGAAGGGAAATTACTAACTAGATAGAAGACATATGTTAATAATGGTGAAGGTAACATGACCAAGGCAAAGGAAGACACTAAGAAAAACTCATGAATAAAGGGCAACTATGCCAGAGTCCTGTAGTCCTGGTGTGGTGCTGCAGGAGAAGATGTAGAATTAAATCCACAAAAAAAACCAGACTTAGTGGTCTGACCGAAAACAGAGGAATCCTCCTGACCTGGACCTGAAGCATTCCCAGAGACCACCTTTCAGCCAAACAATAGGTCCAAAAAGTAAACAGTAACCCCAGAGAGAAGTTTGTTTCTTAAGACAATCAATTAAACAAGATCAAAAGGGAAATATTTGCCCAAAATCAATGTTGAGTAGAAAATTCAAATGAATAGAAATGGGGAACCCAGGGTGAAAATGGGGTGCATGTTGACATTGTGAGGAATGCAACCAATGACATGGAATGCTGTGTACAAATGATTGAATGGAAAACTAATTTGCTCTTAAAATGTTCTCCTAAAGCACAATAATATATATATATGTGTGTGTATACATACATTTGAAGTTGTTAAGTGCCATCAAGTTGGTTCTGATCCATAGTGACCCTGTATAGGGTTTCCAAGTTGTGGTTGGTGAATTTGAACTTTCAACCTTGTGGTTCAAACTGACTTTGTAGTTTAGTGCTTATCTTATAGCACTATACCAAAAGTCCAAATATCTATATATCTATATATCTATATCTATCTATCTATATATATATAAAATATGTACGTATATAGAGTCCTGGTGTGGTGCCGTAGGATTAGCACTGGACTGTGAACCACAAGGCCAGTAGTCCAAACCAACCAGCAACTCCTTGGAAACCGTATAAGGGTCACTATGAGTCAGAACCAACTGAATTCAATGGCACTTAAAAGCAACAACATATTTATAGAGAGAGGAGAACCCCATTATATATATCTATATATCTATATATAGATACATATAGTTGTTGTTGTTGTTAGGTGTCATCGAGTCAGTACCAACCCATAGCGACCTTATGCACAGCAAAACGAAACAGTTTCCCATCCTGGGCCAACCTTACTACTTTTGCCACGCTTGAGTCCATTGATGCTGCCACTTGGCCAATCCATCTCGTTGGGGGTCTTCCTCTTTTTCTCTGACCATCCACCTTACCAAACATGATATCCTTCTCCAGTGACTGGTCCCTCCTGCCAGTATGTCTGAAGTATGAGAGACAAAGTTTGGCCATCTTGGCTTCCATCGTGGCTGCATTTCTTCCAAAATGGATTTATTGGTTCTTTTGGCAGCCTATGGCACTTTAAATAGTCTCTTCCAACACCATAACTCAAAAGCATCAATTCTTCTATGGTCTTCCTTATTCACTGTCCACTTTCACATGCATATGAGGTTATTGAAAATACCATGGCTTGGGTCAGGTGCACCTTAGTCTTCAAGCTGACATCTTTGCTCTTTAACATCTGTGCTCTTTGAGCTTCATCAGTAAATGTTTTAAGTCCTCTTCACTTTCAGCAAGCAAGGTTATATCATCTGCATATTGCAGGTTGCTAATGAGTCTTCCTCCAATCCTGATGCTACGTTTTTCTTCATAGAACCCAACTTCTTGGATTATCTGCTTAGCATACAGGTTGAATAAGTATGGTGAAAGAATACAACCTTGTCGCACACCTTTTTAAAATTTAAGCCATTCAGTGTTCCCATGTTCTCTTCGAACAACTGCTTCTTGGTCCAGGTACAGATTCCTCTTAAGAATACTCATACTTTACAATGTTGTCCAGAGCTTGTCATGATCCACACAATTGAAAGCCTTTGTGTAGTCAATAAAGCACAGGTAAACATCTTGCTGATATTCTCTGCTGGTATATATATATATATATAAAAGTCCATGCTTTTGAGTCCCAGAACCTAAAAAAGCTAATCAATAAATGAGTTGCATGAAGGAAAGAGTAAGGGAAACAAGACCTTCTCCAGTTAGGTTTGGTAATAATGTAAGGCCACCTCCTCGGAAACCCTATACAGGGTCACTATGGGTCAGAACCAACTCAATGGCACTTAACAACAACAACCTAGACCAGAGATTCCCACATATCAATCTGAATACCAGTCTCATGGAAAAATTTGGGGAGGAAAATTCAGATTTCCGAACCCATACCAAGATCTCTCTGTACCAAGATCTGAATTTTTCATAAAGTTCTCCCAGGCAACTCTGATCTGCACCCAGTTCTCAAAACCACTTACCTTGGCCTTGTTTTATTTTAATGCAAATGTTTTCAAACATGAACTACTGGAGTCAAAATTTAAGCTCCCATACCTCAAGTCACATAAATTAATAAAATAAGGAGAAGACTCTTTTCTTATTTACCTTTTTGTCTGAACCGTCTTCTTAGCAGAGCCAGGAGTGTCCCACCTATCAAGAGACCAGTTGTAGAAGCCACGGCTCCACCAAAGTAAGTCAGGGCTTCCTGGATAGTCAATGGTCCTGCTGCAAAACAAACACACACCAAGAGAGCATGAAAAGTATATTGTAGTTGTCATTATCCTAGAAGAGTCCCAGAGCTCTAAGATGTGAGACCAAGTTGAGCCATCAGTAGTCACAATGCAACCAGGCAAGCTTTGAAGGCAACCATTGCAATGGAAGAGAAATGTTGTTGTTAGTGCCATCTAGTTGGTCCCAACTCATAATGATCCTGTATCAGGTTTCCTAGGAGCAACTGGTGAGTTTGAACTACCAAAGTTGAGGTTCAAACTGACCTTGCAGTCCAGTGCTTATCTTACAGCAGCACACAGGACTCCTGAAGAGAAACAGGCCCCAGTTTTATACCTAAGAATGAAGTATCAAAAGTAATTTCCAAAGGAGTCAGGGTAAAGACTCTCCATGATAAGAATTAAATGATAGAATAAATGGAAGTGTGTGCAAATAAACTCAAACATGAATAATTTATTGGGCAACTTAATTTGAAGTTTTGCAATAAAAAGAAGTCATAAGTTGCTAGGGGGAAAATGAGGGGAAAGGAGGATTGAAATAAATCTTGCAAACAGTTTAATCAAGGAAAATCTGTGGTGTTTCCAGAGATTTGTGGTAAATAACGATCTTCTGAAATAATAAACTAGGAGTACACGTGAGATATTCTCTTCACATTAATTAAGTCGAAGGCTGCTAACTGAAAGGTCGGTAGTTCAAACCTACCAGCTGCTCCTCAAAACCCTATATAAGGTTGCTATGAGTTGGAAGTAACTTGATAGCAGTTAACAACAACAACCACCTAAGGAAATGACTGCTGGTTATCTATTCAGTCAGTGAATTTAATCCCCACCTCTCTGTATAAGGCAAGGAAATTCAGCTTGATTTGTTGTGAAATGCTCAGGAGAAACCCAGTGATGGGAAGTGAGACTATTGTTAGAGATGTACAGAGAAGAAACATTGATTAGTTATTTTCTGTATCAAGGTGACTTTTTTAATCCATATGAGAAATATACCTTGGCAGCTTGGCATTGTAGTAGACCAGTGGCCATTCTCTTGGCATGCTGTTCTTGCTGAGCCATTAAGTACTTGACCCTCTGGACAATTGAAGGCGCAGGTAGAACCATAGCTGAAATTTCCCCAGTAGTTGGAACAGTTCATCTCTAATGGTTTAATAATGTGCAGGTCAGAACATTTAACAGCTGAAGGAAAATAGGATGCAGGAAAAACAAACATGTCAAATGAAGGCACAAAAGACTGTAGTTTCACTTATAACCTGTTAGTGCCAGTAGATGAAGTTGAATGTAAATGGTCAGAGAGGAAATGAGTCACAGCAGCTCATCCAACATCACACCAGTTAAAACATCCACTCAAAGAAGGATAGTCAAAGGACCAGGACAGGCACGTGGAGCCCACTGCCATCAAGTCGAGTCTGACTTAGAACTACCTTTTAGGACAGAGTAGAACTAACTGTCCTGTGGAGTTTCCAAGAATGCAAATCTTTGTGAGCTCATATCATCATTCTCCCATGGAGATGTTGGTGGGTTTGAACTGTTGACTATGGTTAGCAGCCTAATATTTAACCCACTGTGCTACCAGAGCTCCTTTGGAAGATAGTACCAAAAAAAACCCAAACCCACTGCGATCAAGTTGATTCTGACTCATAGAAACCCTTTATAGGGTTTCTAAGACTGTAAATCTTTACATGAACAGATAGCCTTATCTTTCCCCATGGAGTGGGTGGTGGGTCTTGAACTACTGACTTTTTGATTATCAGCCCAATGCATAGCCCACAGCCTACCAATACCAATAAATACTTACTGGTGGCTTGACCAATCTTATCTCCAAAAATATTATTTATAAAATTTTACTCCTTGAAAAATTATTATTCTAAATGTTATCATTACCATCACCAGTTAGCAACTATGAGGCACATCTCCATGAGTTGATTAAAGCACTTAAGTGTTTATCATGACTGAACTCTTGAATGTTTGGAAGAAGTAGAGGCTATCATTCCTTTAAAACTATTTTTAAGAAACTTCTAATTCTTTCTCTTAATTAATGGGTAGGGAACTAAAGCTCAGGCAACTAAACTGAAGTCAAATCAACATTGTTGAGTAATAGTGACATTTGCAAAGCACCATGCTGCAATCTATGATGAACAAGACATAGGTTTCATTGCTTTGTATATAGGGTGATAACTCTTAAGGAGGTATCAAACGTGGTTTATCTTTTTATTGAGGTCTCAATTTTATGAATAACAGGGGATGTGTTCACTGTCACATAATTAATAGAACTGCAGCTTGTTTTTCCAGGTTCTATGGTGTAGCATGCTCATTGTCCTAACACATTTTGGACATTAGCATTTGACAGGAGGACGTGGAGAGGCAATGTGCCTGCTGCACTTGACTTCTGAATAGGGACAGAGGATTGATGTGACGTTCACGAAGGAAAGAACTGAAGAAAGAAGTTGTTGGGGTGGGTGTCATGTCAACAGGCAGGCACAATGATAATTGTTGAGTGTCTACAGGAAGGCAGCATCAGACTGGCCTGCTTTGCACATTACCTGTGCACGTTGGTGCTACTGCTGTCCATTGTCCTGAAGGACTGCATCGGAGAATGCGGTCTCCTGTGAGTTTGAACCCAGCATTGCATCCAAAGTAACAAGTGGTATTCAAACCCAAAGTTCCTACATGATGGGAGCATGACATTGTCCCCTGCCCAGGGGTGATGAGGGCTGGGCATCGTATCGCTGAAGTTGTAGGTAACGCTATGCCTGGTGTGAGAAAAATGTCACAATTTAAGGAGTCTTCAATTAAAAGGAGCATATAGCAGAGTTAAGGCCTTCCATTCCTTTCATGGTAAGGAGTCTCTAGCAATATATTCTTAAGGAATAGATATTCCTCCTTAAAGAAAAATACTAATCTCAGGTCTGGAAAACAAGATGAGGAAAATTACTTAAAAGAGAACTTGGAGGGATGATTCTCTTGGTTAGGCAAAGAAATGGGAGTGCCAATGTTGTAAATATCTTTTTAAAGCAGAAGAGTTGGTGCAGAAATACAAGAAATTCAATAGACAGTCAAGTGGGCTTGGGCAGATTGCCTGTTTGCCCCTGCTTTATTGAGACATGGACTTGTCCCATGACCAAAGCTGAGCATGACACAGGAATGACACCGGCAACTCTGTCACTAACTTGCCCTGTTGTCAGAAGACAAAGACTTTTCTGCACCTCAATCCCCCAATTTGAAAAATTGGGCTAGTGGCTTCACCCCTTATATTTTCTCTTGGCTGTGAAGTAATAGAGGCCATTCAATGGACTCAAACAGCTTTTGGAGATAAAGAGGCCAACATATGAAATATTAAAACCAATAATATATATTTTACTTATACACATAAATTTTTCTTTTACTTTTTGTAAGTACTTTTAATCTACAGGGTGTGTTCCTTAGACCCAATAGATAAACAGAAGTAGTGTTTTAAGAATAATAATAACACAATGTGTATCTATCACATAGTAAGAAGCTATACAGGCATACCTTGGAGCTATTGCAGATTTGGGTTCATATCACAATAATGCAAGTTGCACACATTTTTGGTAGCTTCTCAGTGCACATAAAAGTTAGGTTATGCTATACTGTAGACTATTAAATGTGTAATAGAGTACAAAAAAGTTTGAAATATTATGAGAATCGCCAAAATGCACCACAGAGTCACAAAGTGAGCACATACTGATGCAACAGATTTTTTTAACCCATGGTTGCCACAAACCTTCCATTTGTAAAAAAATCCAATATCTGGAAAGTGCAATTAAGCAAAGCACAATAAAACAAGGTATGCCTGTATAAATGTTCATTGTTATCAAAGAAATTAGCACAAGAAGAGGAATTAAAAACATATATTGTTTTACTTTTACAGGTGGGTGGAGGTGCTGTCCATTTCCCAGAAGTTGTGCATTCCACACTCTTGGATCCTTTCAGCTTAAAGCCCTTACTGCAGGAGAAGTGGCAAGTGGAGCCGACACGGAACTTTCCAGGAGTGTCAGAACAATCTATGCTGCCCCATTCTAGGGGAAACAACTCTGGGCACCTGGTGGCTGGAGCATCAAATCAAGAGTGTCACAGTCTTCAAGTTTATTCAGAACTTCTATTCATCATTCACTCATGTATTCAACAATTATTTGCTAAGCACCTACTATGTGGGTGCTTCATTATGCACCAAGCACTCCATACAAATAAGGCTGAGGGGAGGGATGGTGGGCTTGCAGAGAGAAGTAAAGTTGGAGTCATGGAGATAAAGAAAGTCAAGGACTTAAGCAGTCACACTCAACCATTTGCATTTCCCTCCTCTTTTCTCTGTGCACTCTGCTTCAGAGACCTCATAGCCTCTCATTCCTACTAGCTTAGCTCTGTGGGTTAGTTCAGGGCTTCACACTTCTGCCCCTTATCCTGCCTAACACCACTTCCTCTTGGATATTCTGCCACCTTTTCAAATTCAACAGGTCTACAACTTCAACTCGTTTGTTTGTCAGTTTGTCATACTGTGGTGGCTTGGATGTTGCTGTGACGCTTGTAGCTATGCCACTGGTAGTTTACCAGCTGGGTCACCCATGGTGGACAGGTTTCAGCAGAGCTTCCAGACTAAGACAGAATATGAAGAAGGAGAAGCAGACTGCTTCTGTGAATGTATAGTCACTGAAAACTTTATGAATCACAGCAGAACACTGTCAGATATAGTGTCAGAAGACGAAAACAGTATGAATAGCATCAGAATATAAAGGAGCTCTGGTAGTGTTGTGGTTACGAATCGGGCTGCAAACCTTAAGGTCAGCAGTTTGAAGCTGCCAGCTGTTCCATGGGAGAAAGATGAGGCTTTCTGATCCCGTAAAGATTTATAGCCTCAGAAACCCTGTACAAGGTCGCTATAAGTTGGAACTGACTCCACGGCACATAACCACCACCATAGTCAGATACGGTGCCAGAGGATCAACCCCTCAGGTTGGAAGGCACACAAAATGTAACTGGGGAAGACCTGCATCAAAGTAGAGTTGACCATGATGATGGGAATGAAGTAAAGCCTTTGGGACCTTCATTTGTGGATGGAGCACAACTCAAAATGAAGAGAAAACAGCTGCAAAATTCCATTAATTATTGAAACATGGAATGTAGTAACTGTGAATCCAGGAAAATTGGAAGTTGTCAAAAATTAAACAGAGCACATAAAGATCAATATTCTAGACATTAATGCAAGGGTATTGGACATTTTGAATCTGACAAAATGAAACAACTGGTTTACTATGCTAGGAATGAAAAATTCAATAGGCCTAGTGTAGTATTCATCATCAAAAAGAATATTTCAAGATCTATCTTGAAGTGAAACGGTGTCTGTGATAGGGTAATGTTCAGATGTCTATAAGAAAGACAAGTTAATGCCACTCTTATTCAAATTTATATACCAACCACTGAAGTCAGTGATGGTGAAATTGAAGAATTCTACCAACTTCTTCAGTCTGAAATTGATCAAACATACAAACAAGATGGATTGATAATTAATGGTGGTAGGAATACAAAGGTTGGAAACAAAGAGGAAGGATCAGTAGTTGGAAAATATGATCTTGGTGATAAAAACGCTGCTGCAGATTGCATGGTAGAATTTTACAAGACCAATAACCTATTCATTATAAACATCTTTAAAACAACATAAAATGCAAGGATGGAATAACCAGATGGAATACACTGGAATCGAACTGACTACAACTGTGGGAAGAGACAGTGGAAAAGTTCAATTTCACCAGCCAAAACAAGACCAGGGGAAGACTGTGAAACATATCATCAATTGCTCATATGCAAGTTCAGGCTGAAGCTGAAGAAAAAAAAACACAAGTCCATGAGAGCCAAAATATGACCTTGAACATACCCCATCTGAATTTAGAGACCATATCAAGAAGAGATTTAATAGATTACACACTAATTATTGAGGACCAGAAGAACTGGAATGACATCAAGAACATCATGCAGGATAAAAAAGTAAAAGGTCATTTAAAAAGACAGAAAAGAAAGAAAAAACAAAAATGGATGTCAGAAGAGGCTGTGAAACTAGTTCTCCAGTGTAGAGATGCTAAGGCGAATGGAAGAAATGAGGACGTGAAAGAGCTGAACAGAAAATTTCAAGAGGCAGCAAAAGAAGACATAGTCAAGTATTATAATACAATTTGCAAAGACCTGGATTTAGAAAGCCAAAAGAAAAGAACAGGCTCATCATTTTTCAAGCTGAAAGAATTGAAGAAGAAAAAAAATTGAAGCCTCAACTTGTAATATTAAAGGATTCAATGGGACAAATGAACTTGTGGTATGGCACTGTAGGATCAGCACTGGACTGTGAGCCACAAGGTCAGCAGTTCAAACCTACCATCAACTCCTTGGAAACTCCACACAGGGTCGCTATGTATTGGAATCTACTCGATGACATATAACAACATGGGCAAAATATTGAATGATGCAGGAAGCATCAAAAGAAGATGAAAGAAATACACTGTCATTATATCAAAAAGAAATGATCACTGGTCAACCATTTCAAGAGTTAGCATATGATCAAGAGCCAATAGTACTGAAAGAAGCAGTCCAAGCTTCACTTAAGTTATAGGCAAAGAAAACAAACAAGGCTCCAGCAATTGATGGAGTTGCAATCTTTCAACAATGATGCAGCATTGAAGGGGCTCACTCATCTATGTCTAGAAATTTGAAGACCGCTACCTGACCAACTAACTAGAAGAGATCCATACTGTACCAGGCAGAGAGGTAGAACTGGGAAAGAAATTCGGAGCCAGGATGGTCTCTCCCCTCCCTCCCCCGCAACTAGGTAAGGCTAGCAATTAGAAGATGGATCCAGCATCCAAACATGGTTTTGCAGAGGTCAATGACAATTATAAGGATTCAGAGAACAGTAGTCTAACTAAGGATAGTATGTATATCAACAACCAGTGGGGATTAGGGGTTGGATCACAGTGACTTGATACAAACAATTTGGTATGAAAACAGCATCATGATTGGTCAGTACAAGATCCTCAGGCAGTGCTTAGCTTCAGGGAAAGGACAAAGGCAGCAAGGAAACTAGAACATATATGCAGGATCCAGGTCCAAAAGGGTTCAGGCAACTGGCATTCCAATTAAAAATAAGTATCTGTGGAACCACCACAAAAATAAGCCTGGAATTGCACTCTGAAGAGGGGGACTTGGAGCTTCACCTGCTACACTGCTCTTGCAGCTCTGATGGTCCCTAAGACTTTCTGATGTACCTGAGGACTCTGCAAAACACTATGTGAACATCAGGGGGCTGCAGGGAGTGCTGAATGATTTAAGATTCATGAACTCATAGGATCACAAGAGGAACTGGATATATTTGACTCTATTTAGAACATGGGAGTCCTGGTGTGGTGCTGTGGATTAATGCGCCAGACTGCAAAGCCATTTGAACTGCAAGATTGGTGGTTCAAGCTCACCAACTTCTCCTTGGAAATAGTATACAGGGTCACTGTGGGTCAGAACCAACTCTATGGCACTTAACAACAACAACCATTTAGAGCATGCATTTGAGGATGAGGTAGAAACACAAAACCAGAGCTCAAGATGAGACCCAGACAAAGCTGCTAACTCTAAGATCCATAGGTGGCCATGGTCAAGGTTGGACTGCAGTGGACTGGGCAAGCAAGGTAAGAGAACACTGTGCTTCTTATTGTGGAAAAAAGAGGTCTGGGAAGGAGTGAGTGGAGCCAAGAGCTTGTGAGATTACAGATTTAACAACCATATTGTTGCATATGCAATTTTAAATTTTAGTGATAATTTTAAAAGAGAAATGTTTGATTCTTTCACCTTGAAACAGAATGTAGAAAACCAGAGATCATGATAAATGTTTATGAAACGGAAGAATGAACTCATGAGAAGTAAATGAACAAATAATGGAGCACAAGCCCTAATCTGTAAAGGTTCCACATTGTTCAGGTGACTTCTAGTACACCTATGTGCCAGCAGATGGTAGCATGCATGCCCTCTAATGTACATTATCTCTAGCAGGGGAAGGACCTCACACTTCTCCTTTTGGAATTAGGAAAAGTGAAGGCTATATGTATGAAATAACTTTCTCAAGGAGAACCTGAAAAGAGTAATTCAGGTCTTTGGATATATTAATTCACTTCTCATTCTACAAGAAGTAATAGCTGTTGTCACATAATAGATTTCTATCAACACATTCTCTCATCTGGTCACCAGATACTACTCTTTCTCAAGTGTATTCCAGCAGTTAAACCTGCAAACTGGATCACTGAATGAGTCAATTTACAAATGACTGAGCCAGGATTTTAAAACCCTTGGCTGCTAACTGAAAGGTTGGTGGTTCAAACCCACCAGCTAAACTATGTGATAAAGATGTGGCAATCTGCTTCTGTAAATATGTACAGCCTTGAAAAGTCTATGGGTGCATTTCTACTGTTTTACATGATCTCCATGAGTCAGAATCAACTGGACAGCTGCCGGTTTGTTTTAGGTTTTGAACCGTGATTTAGAAATGTTGCCACAAGGTGGCAATGTAGCATTGTGGTTAAAAAGCCAATGCTTTTTAGATTCCTGGTGTGGCGCTGTAGGATAAGCATTGGTCTGCTAACCATAAAGTCAGTGGTTCAAACCTACCACCTGCTCTTTGGAAACTCTATTGCAGGGTCGCCATAAATCAGAACTGTCTCTACTGCACTTGACAGCAATAACATAGTTGGACTTGCCTTCGTGGCGCTGGAGGATAAACACTAGATTGCTAACCTCAAGGTCACCTATTGAAACCCTCCAGTCTTTCATTGGGAGAAAGAGGAAGCTTTTTGTTCTGGTAAAGATTTACAACCTTGGAAACCCTATTACACATGGTTACTATGAGTCAGAATAGAATGGGAGGCAGTGAGTTTTGAGTGAGTTTATACAAAGACTTATGAAGCGGATGGTGGCGCTGTGGGCTTTGGAATGTAAACCATGTCAAACCAGTAACTGTTCAATGAAGCTGTCTGTGATGATAAAGATTTACAGCCTCAGAACTCCAAGGAGAAGTCCAACTGTTCTGTAGAGTCACTTAGTGCTAGAATTGACTTTATGGTAGTGTAGATGGATTGGCCAAGTGGCAGCATCGATGGACTCAAGCGTGGCAATGATAGTGAGGTTGACCCAGGATTGGGCAGTGGTTTGTTCTGCTGTGCATAAGGTCGCTATGGGTCAGTACCAACTCAATGGCACCTAACAACAGCAGCATTTTTATTATTTCTGACCTCGTTACTGACTACATTCAATGATAAATTATAACAAGGGTGCTGTCTGAAGCTAAAGATGAATTATCAATGAATTCATTAAATTTCTATTTTAGATCATACTGTGGGGTAATCAAAGACAGATACAATGCAACTTTTGAAGATTTTACTAATTCATAAGCAATAGAGCTTATATTTGAGTACATTTTACCAGCAAATGAAAATAATCCTCAATTCAAAGGATATTTGTCAGACAATCACTGTCATTGTACCTAGTTGCTGCAGAGGATACACACAAGCAGAAGGCACAATGCCTGCCCTCAGGAAGCTTAAAATCCATATAAAAGCAAAGGGAGGAGATATGTGCATTTACAGATTGAGGGACTCTTGAAAGATGAGAATTAACATACAACAACAATCCCTGAATAAACTGAATGGGCTCAGTGTCTGAAACTCACTAGTGCTTGAAGAAAATGAATGCAAGTATGGATGAAGAGTGTCTTAGAAAAAAGGAATTAAAAGCCCAAATAAGTGTCGGCTTCATAACTTATTAACAGTGTTATGTTAGACAAATTACTTAACCTCTCTGAGCCCTAATTTCTTCATAAAAATGGAGGTATATTATTTACTCTCATTACTTTAGTAAACATTAAATCCTACAATGACATCAAAACACTTCATAAACTATGACATGTTTAACTAGAATTATTAATAAATGATTATTCACAAACAGAGATGAAGATAGAGTGGGGAGAGAGAGATGGAAAGACAGCAGCTTTTGGTCTAGATGACCATGTTTTGTGAAGAATGTACTGTTTGCTTTAGCTGAATAACATTCTTACATGAGTCTGATTCTCCAGTTCTTATAATGTTAGCTGAAAAGCCACGAGAAAGGACAGATCCATGGTCCTACCTTCACACGTTGGAGAGGAACCTGTCCAGTGTCCAGAGGTAGTACATTCCAACCTTTCTGGTCCAGATAAAGAAAACCCTTCATCACAGCTGAATTGGCATGTGGATTTATAGCTGGAATCCCCAAGAGATTGGTCACAGGTCATGTTTCCATTCTGAGGACTTTGCAGAGGTGTGCAGGTAAGAGCTATCATAGAGAGAAGAAAGTATTTTATAAGTCAGCAACCTGAAATGACTCGAGTGTGTGTGTTATAATCCTTAGCACCCAAAGGCATCATTTGGTTAGAAATCAATGCTGGTATTTCATGATGTGCACTGTCACCAGTGAGAGGCTGTGGGTGTATAAAACAGCAGTGTTTTGTGTGTGAATGTTTCAGGAGATGTAAAACTGACATCCTGAAACATTCATCCACAAAAGCATTTGAAAGGTGATTTTTAAAAGGAAGGAATGACATGTTTGGAAAGATTGTCATACAGCTCATTCCAGTTGTCCCTGAGCAGAGTGGTGGCTGCTTCCTTGATGCCTTCTTCACAAACAGACCTAATGACCTTCCCAGAAAGCAGTAACTAGTAATCGGGGAAAAGAATATAAGAAGGTAGAATGGCAATAGGAAACAGAGGGGAAAAATGAGATCAGTGATGTTACATTGTGGGGATTACAATCAACGACATGAAACAAAATGTGTATAAATTGTCAAATGGAAAACTGATCTGCTCTATAATCCTTCACCCAATTGACAATAAAAAGTTAAAATTTATATATATGGGGTAAAATACTTTTTATATTCCCAAACTCCTTTCCCCAACCAGATTGTAGAAAGAATTGGAGTCCAAATCCTGACTCTGTTCCTCATGAGTAATGTATCTCTAGACAATAGCCTATCTGAACTTCAATTTCTTTAGTTGTGAAAATGGGAAAAATAAAAACCGTTGTTTTCCAGGCATCCTTAAGGAGCTCTGGTAGCATAGTGGGTTAGGAGTTGGGCTGCTAACCATGTCACATCTACCAGTGGCTCCAGGGGAGAAAGATGAGACTTTCTGTTCCTGTAAAGATTTACAACACTGTTCAGGTTGCTATGAGTCACCTATTTAACAAGTTAAACTAGATCTCACAGTTCTTTTCCATATTTTATACAAGTAGAGTCTGTGGCACGAAGGCACCTGCTTTCCTTCAGTGTGGCTGCACTAATAGAGGTGGTGGTTTTTGTTGTTATGTGCCATCGAGTCAATTCAGACTCACAATGACCCGACAGACAGAGCTGAACTGCATCATAGAGCTTCCAAGGCTGTACAACTTTACAAAGGCACACTGCCACATCTATCTTCCATGGAACAGCTGGTGGGTTCAAACTACCAACCTCTCTGTTAGCAACCAAGCATTTAGCCACTATAGCATCAGGGCTCCTGTGTTGTTGCTGTTAATGGCTGAGTTAGTTCTGACTCATACATAGTAACCCTGTTTGGGGTTTTTGAGGAGCGACTGATGGATGTGAACCACCAACCTTGAGGTTAGCAATCCATTGTTTATTCTACATCAGGGCACCAGGGCTCCCTTAGGTATTAACCCAGCTGTAGATAATACTTGTCTTTGAACAGCTCTGTGAATTTTGACAAGCCACTTAACCTTCTTAAGTCTCAATTTTTTAACCTGAAAAGTGAGAAGAACAGCATTGTAAGAGGGGGCTTCAGAGAGTTTGTGGAAAATGGAATGAAAAGATAATGGCATTTTTCTTCAAACATTTGGAAGCCCTCTCATATAGCAACAAGGATTTTTTTAAAGATCAAAAGCTAAAATAATAAATAGCATGCAAATGTTAATGCTGTCAGGATGTCTATTTATGGATTAATAAAATAATAAAGCTGGGATTAAATCTGCTGGCATTAAAAAGCGAAGACTAAGTAAACACATAGCTCAGGGTGTTTCTTCACTCTTTGACCTGGTTGAGAAACATAGGACCATTGGAGATCTTCCACCTTGAGAACGTTTTCTATGCTTTTCTCTTCCCTTCTTTCCTTTCCATCTCATGCTAAATTCCTCCAAAATGGATCAATTTGTCCAAAGACCTAGTTGTTTTCTGCCACTGAAACAACTTTCAGTATTAAGTGTGTATGGGGGTTGGGAGGGGAGGTGGGTAGAGGGAAGGGGAGGAGAGGAGACAACTCAAGAACCCTGCAACAGGTAAGGGCAAAATGCAACCTTATAAGACAATATTATAGCAACCATATAAGACAGTAGAACTACCTCCATAATGGAAGGAAAAGTGATGGAGTTCATTTCCAGCTCTTTCTCTAACAGCAAGGGTGGCTGTGGAGAAGTGGTGGAAATTGTTTGCCGACACACTCTCAGAAATATTGCAACATCTAGAGGATTGCAAGACTCACTGTATCTTCCTGCCCAGCCCACGTTTGGATATTTCACTTGATAGCCACTCAGCAACCAGAGAGGTTGAGGAGAAAGTTCAGTCAGTAAACAAAGAACAAAAAAACAGAAGGGAACTGGAAGGTCACAGGAAGCAGTGGTGAGTAGAAACCTCCTTGCTGTGAAACGCCCATTGGCAGGCCAGGATGGGGCAATGAGCTGTAATCTGTGCCCTGCACAGCTCAGGGCGGCCCGGAAGAACTCTGAGAACTGTGATAACCCACAGCAAAGACTCCACGTCCTTCCCTAAAACTGACAAGAGTTTGTGATGCATGTAGTCTTCAATGAGCCAGAATGTGAGTGAGGGCGCAGGATTACAGCCCCACCCCCATTCTCTCCATACCCAGATCTGCAGGTGCCAACTAGCTATCCTTCTCTGTCTAGTAGATTTCAACTCATAGCAACTCTATAAGACAGTAGAACTACCTCCATAAGGTTTCCAAGGCTGTCAGGCATTATAGAAGCAGACTACTACATTGTTCTCTTACTGAGTGGCTAGTGGATTTGAACCTCTAACCTTTAGGTTAGCAGTCAAGAGCTTAACCACTTTGCTACCAGATTCTGAAGGTACATCCAAACCAACCCCTATTGAATAATCATACTTTGGGTGCCTGGGAATGAAGGACACCCAGCTTTGCTGGCTTGTTTATTCAATCATTTGTTCATTCATTCATTCATTCACTCACCAATTAGCAGTAGTGTGTGTGTGTGTGTGTGTGTGTGTGTGAGTGTGTGACCTGAATAGCAAATGGATTTTTCTTCATAAAAGCCACAATCTGCTTGCTTTCACCAAAAGTTGAAAGTCTGTGCAAAGTGAATACTCAAAGGCAAACCATATAGATACATCTAGTGTTATACATATTTAACTAAGGAGCTCTGGTAGCGTAGTGGTTACGAATCGGGCTGCGAACCTTAAGGTAAGCGGTTCGAAACTACCAGCTGCTCCGCGGGAGAAAGATGAGGTTTTCTACTCCTGTAAAGATTGACACCCTCGGAAACCCTATACAGGGTCGCTATGGGTCGGAACCGACTCAAAGGCACATAACAACAACAAAACTTTGTATGCTTCATAAAAACATTAGCTTCATAGGGAAAAACTGGATGGGGAAAATATTTGGAAGAATTCACATCAGAATGTTAACAGCATCAGTTTTAGGCAAAAAGTATATAAGAGGACACAATTTTATTTCTCTATTTGCTTATTTTACTGTGTCCTTTGTAGATTAAAAACCTTGCTTGCTAAAAGCAATATTTGCCATAAACATAGTGAAAAAAAGAATGGGGAGTCTAGAAAACAGACGTTTATCATTTAATTCCCCAATACAGATGACTAGAATCATTTCTAATGCAGACAGGTACTATAATGTTGACAGAATACAAGGCTTTTAGATATGAAGTACAGTGCACATATATAAATGCTTACAGTGAATGTGAAAGTTTCTTTCTTCCGAGAAAACTGTAACCTCAAATTTAAAGAGTAGTTTCTTCCCCTTTTCATCATCTTACTTTATTCTAAGTAAATACATTCCTTCAATATTGTGCAAATCTTGAAGGATGTTTGCAGGTGGGTACACTAATATTCATTTTCCCAGTTCCACTGTTATAATACTGCACAAGTCTGTCCCCATTCTGCCATTATACTCCAATGCTTCAAGGAGTGAAGCGCCATGTCAGCTTTGGGACAGTCAGCCCACAACTCATGTTTTCCTTCTAGATATTATTTTTCGCCAACTGAGAACAGTGTATCTGGCTCATGAAAAGAGCCTTTAGGTCCTGGTAAAGAAGACCCTCAACTAGATGGATTGATTCAGTGGCTGCAACAATAGACTCAATTGTGAGGATGGTGCATTACTAGGCAATGTTTCGTTCTGTTGTACGCAGGGTCAATATGACTGGGAACAGAGCCAACAGCACCTAACACTGACCACAATAAGACCCTGGTAAGGAGATAGCAGGGGCCACTCCCTATTGTCTGTTGCCAAATATCTGGCACTATCTGCCTAGTCCCTGAAAGCATTTGTATTTGGAGTTTATGTGTTACAGAGTGAAAGGATGAGAGTATGTATTAATTTTCCTGACCTTTTTAAAAGTACTAGCCCTGGAAAGACACCACTTCTAAAATATAGCCTTACAGTGTATTTCCATGATGCTAGAAGGGCATAACCTTGGCATTCTGGAGGCTTAGCACTCCAACTCCCAGTAGCCAAGCACTGCAGCACACTTACACCCACCAGGAACAAACCTTCATCACAGGTGAAGCTACAGGCTGACTGATACCTGAAGGCACCAAAGGGGTGGGAACAGTTCACCTTGGCTTTATTGGGAGTTAGAAGATATTGGCATTTCAGAGCTAAGGGGTGAGAAGGTAAAGGAGAGAGGAAACAGTTATACACAAGTACTCATTGATTTTGACCCCTAATCTTTTCTAGTACCAAGAGCAGATTGGGATTGTTTAGCCTGGAGGAGGATAAAAGTGTCACTTAATTACTATATCATGCAAGAGCAAATCAGTTCAAAGATTTTACCAAAACATTGTTTGTAAAAGAGAAAATGTGCTATTATCATTATTATTACTAATAGGAGTAGTAATAGTAATCATGATAATATTATTAAAATTATGCATTTAATGCAGACCCTGACTGTCAAAGTAGAAAGCAGTAGGAAGGCTTATCAAGAGAGACATTAGGACCACATCTTTAAATGCTTAAGGGAGCATCCAATATCTGTTCTGGAAATTTTTTGCCTGGAACTAAGGATGGCTTGAATGATCCCTTATGGTTCCTGTCAAATGGTTCCCTGTACCTTTGTGTCCCAGATGAGACATCTACAATGCACTACTTTGCCTTCACTAAGTCTTACTATCTGTTCCACAGCAATCTCTTACTTCATGAATTCACTTAAGTAAGACGAAACTTAGTCATAAGTTACCCGGGGCTCCCAGTAAATGGCAACATGAATAGCTGGTATTACCCCACTTCTTTGTGGGGTAATCCTTGTAAATTAGTGACCTCCTTATGCCTTAGTTATTCTATAAGAATAAATATTGAAAACATGAGATATTGAAAAATAATCATCTTATAGAAATCATGATGGCATAGTGGTAAAACTTGCGGATGTTAAAAAGTTGGCTATTGGAACCCACCAATCGCTTCACGGAAGAAAGATGTGGCAGTGTGCGCTTATAAAGATTTACAGCCTCAGAAACCCTATGGGACAGTTCTACTCTGTCTGACAGGGTTACTATGAGTGGGAATTAATTCTATGGCAGTGGGTGGATAGATCAGAATGATCCCAGGTACAATGGAATCAGACTACTGTAACCCTCTGGGTTTTCAGAAACTGATCACCAGGCACTTCTTCCTAGCCCATTTTAGTCTGGAAGCTCCGCTGAAGCCTGTTCAGAATCCTAACAACACACAAGCCTCAAACTGCCATGCGTGAGGGGCATTGGTCCAGGTCTCCCACATGGAGGGTGAGAATTCTATTACTGAATCATCCCTGCCCTGCATACAAGTAATTGTACCCTCGTTTTACACTGAGCCTCAGAGAGATTAAAAGCTTGTTGACAGGAAATGACAGAACCAGAACTAGGTGCCTCTTTCATTACTCTTCCTCCCTTCTGTGTTGTTCTTCGTGTACCATTCTTTTCCCCCCACCTCCTTCAGACCAACCTATCCCATGCATGTCAGTCAACGCAACTCTTGCCTTGAGTATGCTGTAATGACCATGTTGGGTCTAAGAGTGGCTTTGCTCACTATTTCATTCCTGGCTCATAATAGATTCTCAGGGAGTGTCTGATGGATACATGAATGACAGTATTAAATGAAGATGCCCATCTTCTGCTGGACTTCTAGGGACAGAAGGGACATGTCAGTATCACTGTACCTTGACAGACAGGGGCTGGCGCCGTCCACTGTCCCAGCTCAGAACACCGAACCATCTTGGCTCCTCTCAGCAGGAAACCCTCAGAACAATGGAAGCTACAGCTGGTGTTGTAATGAACTTCTCTTGGGGATGCAGAGCAATCCATACTTCCATGGACTGGACTCTCCATTGGGTCACATGCAATAGCTAAATGGAAAAGTTACTGTCTGAAATCAGGTAATGTAAAGAAAAGCCTGGTTCTTTCTCAGAAGAGTTCTCTAGGAAATGCCACATATTTTCTACCCACATTGTTGATATCTACAGAACTTTAAATCTGCTTTTTTTCCCAAAAGTTCTGTCTAGAACACCTTCCCATGCCCCGCTTCAGGTCTCAGTTTAGATTTCACTCTCCTAGGAAGCTTTCCCTGCCCACTCCAAGATGTGCTGGAACCCCTCCAGTGTCCGCCCACAGCCTCTGCTCTTGTCTGGTTCATACTCCGCTATTATTCCTAAGCACACCACAGTCTCCTTGAAGGTTTGGAGACAGCAGAACAGTGGATAGTACATAGAAAATGCTCACGAAACACTTATGGATATTATTTGTGGAATCTGATCTGAAAAGAATTGGAAAGCATTAGACTTATGGGACCATGTGGATTATTGTTGGCACCTTATGACCATACCATCTAAGTGGTCCCCAATAAGCCTTGTCTCTGAAATATAGTACATCATCATAATCATACTTCAATTGCCAAGTGAGTGCAGTCCAAGTTGAGTTCCTGAGGATAATTATGAGACCTCAGTTCTCAAAAGAACTGATTTCCTCTTGCTCTTCCTTGAATGAAACATACCATTTCCAGGACGTTGTTTGGGTTTTACAAAGTATAAAGACTACCCTTTCTTCTATAATTCTGTGTGCACCCTGGGTTTGACCTCAGGTTTTTACAGACTCAGGTCATTTTGCAACAAAAGATTCTCTAGTGCTTCTCTCTTAACGTCGTCATTGTTGTTAAGTGCCATCAAATTTGTTCTGACTCATGGGAACCCTGTGTAGGGTTTCCAAGGAGCCGCTGGTGAGTTTGAACCACTGACTTTGTGGTTCAAACTGACCTTGTGGTCCAGTACTTATCCTACAGCACCACACCAGGACTCCAAGCCTCAACTTTCTCCCATGGAATAGCGACCTTGTGGTTCACAGTCCAGTGCTTATTGTATGGAGCCACCGTGTTTCATTTGGAGATGTTGTGACGTCCCTAAAGTCTCATAGGTAGATAGGAGCAGAGTTGGGCTTTTAGTCTGGGTGTCCAGGGAATTCCCTGATCCTACCTTCAAATTCTCACTTCTCCACCCCCATCTCTGCTTTATACAAGAGGGTGTGGGGTAACTGCACAGAATTCAGATTCATGGTGTTATGCAATTGTCTAGAGTTGCATCATAGACTCCTTTTCAATTCAGTGTTCCTTTGCTCCTTTGTCAAAGCCTATTTTTGTAAGCTATGATAAGGAATCTCATTCTTCCCTAATAGTAATACTTTGACTTCCTCTCAGGTTTAGGTCCTATACCTTTTACATGCCAGAGGAACAGGAAAGGGAAAAAAAGAAACACAAATACAGTTTACAGGATTCTAGCTCTATGCTAGGTATTTTATTTGTTGTTGTTGTTGTTAAGTGCCACTAAGTTGGTTCCAACTCATAGCGACCCTATATAGGGTACTTTACACTTGCTATTTAATTGTAGGATTCCTGGTATGGTGCTGTAGGATCAGCACTAGACTGCGAACCACAAGATCGGCTGTTCAAGCCCGCCAGTCGCTCCTTGAAAACCCTCTGCATGGTTGCTATGAGTCAGAACTGACTTGACAGCAGTTAACAACAATGACAAATGTAATTTGTTGTAATATATGCATTCTATATACTTAAACCTCACGAAAGCACCCTGCAATTCTTAGTTCCATTTCATAGATGAGAAAATCATGCTTCCTGGAAGTGGACCATCTTGCTCCAGGGTCACAGAGCCAGTGGAGGATGTCACCCTAATTTTAAAAGACCTTGGTCTTTACACTATGCCCCATCTCCTTCCTATGGGTTGGGGGTTGCTAAATGGAAGCCCTACCCTCACAGGCCAGCATGGGTGCAGTCCGCTGGCCAGGGACAGTGCAGTGGAGGGTGTCTGAGTCCCTCACTCAGTAGCCAGGTTAGAACTCAAATTACAGCAGGAACCGTATGCAAGCAAAGGCAGCAAAAGGATCAGCATAACCCATGGTTCATTTGCTTGGGGGCTTCTAGGAGCTAACACTGCACATCTGGGGAGAACAACCAAGGACAATGAAAAAGACACAGCTGGAGGTGAAGCAAGGAAGTCCTAAGCTCCTAGAGACATTTGTCCAGACTTAGAGCACCAGCCTGTCCTAAAGTGACCCAAATCTCTCATATACACAGATTTTTCTAAGATTTATTTTGAATATCTTCTATCTACTGCATTACTACAAACCTGTCCCTATAGGTCTTCTGGAGCATTGTAGGATCAGCACTAGACTACTAACCACAAGGTTGGTGGTTCAAACCCACTAACCGCTCCTTGGAAACCCTATACAGGGTCGCTATGAATCAGGATTGTCTCAATAGAACTTCACAACAACAACAACAACATAGGTCTTTTAGTATTTCCTTACAGATGTAGATGTACATTTCATCTTTTTCCCCTCACATATGATATGAGTCAAGTAATTAGGTTATTTCAACTGCTTTAGAAGGAGCCTTGGTAGTATAGTTGATTAAGAGCTGGACTGCTAACTGCAAGGTCAGCAGTTTAAATCAGTCACTCCGAAGGAGAAAGATGAGACTTTCTGCTCCCATAAAGATTTACAGCCTTGGAAACCCTATACAAGGTCACTATGAGTTGGAACCAATTTGGTGGCACACAACCGCCACCAACAACTACTGCTTTGGGGTAAGGAGGACTTATTTTGTTTACAGTAAAATCAGCATCTTGTTTTCCAGGAACCTCTCATTTTCTCTTCCAGATGTACTCAGTCTAGTTGAGGTTACAAAAAGAGTCAAACTTTGGCAATTCAGGCCAGCTTCTCCAGAAGTGGAACAGTTTCACCTGTACACCCAGAAAGGGTTGGGGGCAGTGGTCATTGCAGTTCCCCAACTGTTGGGAACTCACCTGTACACACGGGGGCTGGGGCTGTCCACACCCCAGAGGCAGTGCACTGCACCTCCTCTGACCCAACTAGCATGAACCCCTCATCACAACGGAAGCTGCAGCTGGACTGCTGCTGGACGTCTTTTGCAGAGTGAAGACAAGTCATGCTTCCTTGTTCAGGAGTCTTCATGGGGGGACACTGAGTGGCTGTAAACAACCAGAGAGCAATGTCATACAATGTCATATAGGGTGTGGCCAGTACCTTGGAAGCTTTGGAATTCTGCAATAACTGGATTTTCCCAAAGTGACAGGCCTGGTGATGGACTTGGGCGGTTAAATGACACTTTCAAGTAGATGGTTGGAAAGATCCAAATGTGCTCACTTTTCACAAAAAAACTTTTTATTGTGAATTGGATGTAGGTTTACAGAGCAGATTGTGGATTTTACACCCAACATTTCGTATGTATTTTGTTTCAGCTCATTGATTGCGATCTCCTCACTGTTACAACACTTATCCCACTTCCCCTGTTTCTTGTTTCTATTCCTCCTCCTTTCCTAACTCTTTGACTTTGTTTGTCCTTGGGTAAACGCTGCCTTTTTAACTCCAAATGGTTCACTATTCTGAGCTGTGCATATTTCACTAGTGTTACGATGTGGCACTATAGGATAATGCACTGGATCACAAGGTCGGTTTGCACAGAAGGTTGGCAGTTCAGACCCACCAACCAGTCCTCAGAAACTCGATGTTGTTGGTGTTTGTTGTTAAGTGCCATCAAGTAGGTTCTGACTCATAGCTACCCTGGATAGGATTTCTGAGGAACAGCTGGTGAATTCAAACTGCTAACCTTGTGATTCAAATGGACCTTTTGGTCCAGTGCATTATCCTACAATGCCACACCAGGACTCATAAACCCTATACTGGGTTGCTAGTGACAACACTTAACAACAACAGATGGTTCCTCATGATAGTGATGGCTGTGTGCCACTGAGTTGGTTCTGACACATAGCAACTCTGTATCGGGTTTCTGGAGCTGGAAATCTTTACGGGTGTAGAAAGCCTTATCTTTCTCCAGCAGAGCGACTGGTAGATTCGAACTGCTGACCTTGCAATTAGCAGCCCGGTTCGTAATCCACTATTCTCCCAGGGCCCCTATGGTTCCTGGTTCCTCTTAGAGATCGAGTTTTTGACTGAAAATTGAACCAGAGAGGTGAGTTCAGTGCCAGACCTGAAGAGTGACTAAGGTTCATAGTCTCAAGGTTCCATAAATCTCTGTCCAATCTGTTGTTGTTATTCTTTTTAAGAGCCATCGAGTCAGTTCCAACTCATAGCTATCCTGTATAGGGCTTCTGAGGAGTGCCTGGTGAGTCTGAACCACCAACCTGTGGTTAGCAGTTCAGTGCTTATCCTACATTGCCACATCAGGACTCCATCTGACCAGTAGGCCTGCTCTTTGTTTATCATTTTGAGTTTTGTTCCACATTTTCCTCCCATTCTATCTAGGAACTTCTAATGCAAACCTTTTCAGAGCAGTTAGAAGTTTCACTTACATTTTTAAAACACAGGTAAAAATTTAGATTAATAATATATAATGCCTAACTCCTCATTATTTTGTTGTTTAATTTGCAACTAACAAGGCAGAAAGGATATTTTTCTAATGCCTTTACCTGCAAAGAAAGAATTAAATCGATTACCTCACTTTGCAGATACAAAATACCATGTAAATCAAAATGAACATTACTCTTGATCCTTAAAAGCACCGTGTTGTTGTTAAGACCCACTGAGTCAGTTCTGACTCATAGGGACCCTGTATTGTGTTTCTGAGGAGTAGTTGGTGAACTTGAATCGCCGACCTTGCAGCGTCACACCAGAAAGCATTATGCTGAGTAGAATACGGCACTCAAAGGAAATGTGTAATTTCACTAAGATGAAACATATGAAGAATAGACAAATGTAATAAACATCAGAGTTTAACAGTGGTTACCAGGGCAAAAAGGACCTCTGGTAGGGTAGTGGTTATAAGTTAGGCTGTTAATCTCATCATCAGTAATTCTAAACTACCAGCTGTTCCACAGGAGAAAGATGAAGCTTTCTGCTCTTGTATAGATTTACAGCCACAGAAACCCTATGAGTCAGAACCGACTCCACCACTACCAGGGAAAATCGAAAGGGGAACAAGGGAAACCTTTTCCTAGCTCACATTGAGCTTGCTTATGGGAATGGAAAATATGGCAGTGGTTATTGGTGAAGGCCGTACAACATCATTGATGTCATTGGCAGCACCGAACTGTTACAAGTGACAGATGCTGACTGGCAACTATTGTTATCTGTATTTTTATAATAATAATAAAAAACAAAAAACAAAAACATAGCTACTCTGATTGACAGGCAATAGAGATAACCTGAATTTTCCATCCGAAGTGCATCCTCATTATTTATCACATTTTTTAGTGGTGAAAAATTCTTTTTCTTGAAATTCTGGCTGTCAGAGAGGCTAGAAAGAATACGGACTACACACCTACACACTGTGGGAGTCTATTTGTCCAGTTTCCAGAAGCCAAGCATTCTAGTGTACTGGGTCCCTTCAGTGTGTACCCTTCTGTGCAGTGGAAGCTGCACTGTGAGTTGAAGGCGAAGTTTCCCAGCGGATGGCTGCAGTTCATAAGCACGTATTGAGGTAGATCCAGTTCTCCACACTCCGTCACTGCAAGAGATAAAATATTGTGTTTTTCCCCCCCCATTGTAGACATAAAAACAAGGTAACATTTGCTGTATTATCTGTATTAACTGCTTCACTTCATCTTCCTAGGTTCTAGCCCAATCCATCCATCTTTACTTGGTCTCTTGGTATTGGGTACATTTGGGGAAATAACCATGGTTTCACTGGCATTTAGTTCAAACATGGATTCTCTTTGGTATGCTTCATGTTTCCCTTTTCCTTCATGAGATTTTTATGTGCAAATGTTCTCTCCAAGGATGCAAGATCTTATCCAGAGTGTGTATCTAGGAACCATTGAGGGGGACGAGCAAACATAGCACTGAGGGTGCCTGGGACTAGCCTTCACCCATCAGAAAGTCTCTGTATCATTTATACCCTTGCACCATCTTTAGCACAACACCAAAGGCCAAAGTAATATCAACAAGATGATGCCCTCACCGTATTCACATCCTGATCCATAGAATCCAGGGTAGCAGGTGCAGGTGTAGTTTCCGATGGTCTCAATGCATTCTCCTTGCTTGCTGCAGGACATGTCCTGGCAGGAGGCTGAATGGATGTGGAAGAGTCAGAATCATAGGCATTTGTAGGAGATGTTGTTCCAAGTCACAGACTCAGACCTACTTGGGTAGGACTGAGTTAGCCAGGCAGCAAAGACCAATAGGTCCTCCAGAAAGCTAGCTTATCCCGGAGAAAGCTATCGTGGGAGCCTACTGGAGGTATTACATGAACTCCCATTTCTGTGGTACGTTTACTGTTTTCTAAAGAGGGAGTTGCTCTTTGTGGACACGGAGGGATAAAAGGAGCCATTGGTAGATGTGTGGACTGAGAAACTCTTCTCTGTGGTAAAAAACAGGTGCTCATTTTTATGAAGTGAAGGTGGTGGTGGTGGTAGTGGCTGTGTGCCATGGAGTCGGTTCCAACTCTTAGAGACCCTGTATAGGGTTTCTGAAGCTGTAAATCTTTGTGGGAATAGAAAGTCTCATCTTCCTCCTGTAGAACAGCTGGTAGTTTTGAACTGCTGACCTTGAGGTTAGCAGCCCAACTTGTAACCACTATGCTACCAGAGCTCCTTTTAATCAAGAGTACTCTTCAAGTTGGATTATTACAGAAGGCACTGTAACAGGTGTTACACCACAGGAGTTAAGAACCAGATTGGGGATCACACAGATATGATCTAAATCCTGAATCGATTCTGTTGTTAAGTGCCATTGAGTCGGTTCTGACTCACAGTGACCTTGTATATAGGGTTTCCAAGCCTTTAAACCTGAGTCAGGAACAGAAAGCCTCATCTTCTTTCCATGGAGTAGTTAGTGGACTTGAACTGCAGACCTTGTGGTTCCCAGTCCAGTGGGTCTTTGGGGTAATTACAAGAGGAAATCCATATACCACAGAGAGAGTTGTATTAGATGATTTCTAAGTTTCCTCTCAATTTTGAGATACTATAGTCCTGGTTTAGCACTGTGGGTTAATGCATTGGATTGCAAAGTCAGTTTGAACTACAAGGTCGGCAGTTCAAGCTCACCAGCCGTTCCTTGGAAACCCTATACAGGGTCTTTATAGGTTGGAACCAACTTGATGGCATACAATAGCAGCATCAGCATAGTTCTATAAGCCATGCAAGCACCTGCAGGAGGAATGTTCCAGTGAATAAGCCCATGAGTGTGATGAAGCTATATAAAACACTTGGAAACGTTTCTTCATTAAGAGAAGACACCAAAAGCATCAGTAACTGGAAGGTAGAGGTTTGGTCCACATCTTCCATGCTATTTCCTTGTCTCCACTCTCTCTTATACTAGGGCATAGTGCGGTTGTTGTGTACCACTGAGTTGGTTCTCTAAGTCATAGCTACCCTGTACAGGGTTTTTGAGGCTATAAATCTTTAAGGGAGCACAATGCCTCATCTTTCTCCTGCAGAGCAGCTGGTGGATTCAAACTACTGACCTTCTGGTCAGCAGCCCAACGCATAACCCACTATGCCACCAGGACTCCGATACTAGGGCATTGTTCTTGTTAAGTGCCATTGAGTCGGTTCCAACTCATGGCAACCCTGTATAGGGTTTCCAAGGAGCAGCTAGTGAATTTGAACTGCTAGCATTGTGGTTCACAGTCTAGTGCCGATCCTACAGCACCACACCAGGAATCTGCTAAGCTATGTTGTTACTATTGCTGTTATATGCTGTCAAGTCAGTTCTGACTCATAGAGACCTTGTATAGGGTTTCCTAGGAGCAGCTGGTGGGTTTGAACCACCGTCCTTGTGGCTTACAAAGCTCTGGACTTAAAATTTAGAAGACTGGTGACTAGCCCTAACTTTCCTTCTGCCCTGCTACAGGACCTTGAGAAACAAAAACTCCCTAAGCTTCCATGTCATCAGGTATAAAAGGGTGGGTTGGATATTAAAATCTCCTTTTAGTTTCAGAAGGCCACTTTTCTCTAATCCTGATCTGATATCCTTCAAGGTGCTCAATAAATACCTACCAACAGTTTAGCTGGTGACATAGTGATTAAAGAGTTTGGGTGCTAACCAAAAGGCTGGCAGTTCAAACCTACCAAATGCTCCAATGGAGAGAGATGAGACAGGCAGCTTCCATTAAGATGGCAGCCTACTCTTTGAGGCAGTTCCACACTGTTCCATACAGTCGCTGTGAGTCAGAATCAACTAGACAGAAAATGCTAACAGTTCACTTGTTTTCATCTTCCTGATTTTGTGACTCCACTAAATTGACTCAGTGAATATTTCAATCAATTATTTTAAAGTCATTAAAGACTGAAAGGACAAGATTCAGGGGAGTAGAGAAAACCTTGGTGTCCCTGTGTGGTATAATGCTCTGGTAGCATCGTGGTTGCAAATCAGGCTGCGAACCTCAAGGTCAGCAGTTTGAAACTACCAGCTGTTCTGCAGGAGAAAGAAGAGGGTCTCTGCTTCTGTAAAGATTTACAGCCTCGGAAACCACAGCACATAACAACAACAACAAAAGGCAGGAGGTTTGAGTCCACACGGAGTCACCTCAGAAGAAAAGCCTGTGATTTTAAAAAGTTAGCTACCCCTATAGAGCACAGTTCTGCTGAGACACACATAGTCACCATGAGTCAGAGTTGACTCCGTGGAAACTGGTTTTTAAGAGAGGCCTTACCGGTATAGCACAACGCTCGCTTTCTTCTCCAGCAGGGTTCATCATTCCACTTGCCAGGGGCTGACGAGCTCTTGATGTAGATTTCCACGCAGTCCTGGTTGTTCCGCTTGTTGTTGGGCTCATTGTCAGCCCAGTTCTCGGCATCCTCAGTGAGAGTTTTTTTGGTCCCCACCCAAGTCCAAACATTATCTATTTTTCGGATGCCAATCCAGTAGTAAGAGTTGTAGTAGGGTATGACATCATTGAGGTGGGCGATTTCATTTTTATTCTGGATGGCCACTAAATCTGTGTAGTACTTCTGGCAGAATGCCCGGGAAATATTCCATGGGTATGCTTTTGTGCTGTAATGATAGGTCCATGCTTCCACTTCTCCCTGGTTCATTAGTTCTAGAATAAGCGAGAGTGGGTACCAGGTTAGCAACTCAAACCAGAGGGAAGCTGTGATTGTTATAAGTATACTTCTGTGTAGTCAGATGACTTTCTGGCCAGAAGACAAATATTCAAAATATTCATGTTTTATTTAATACAGTTTTAAGGAAAAAGAGTAGATTTATATATTTCATTAAGGTGTACATGAAGTCATCAGAGGAAATAACCTTTTCTGAGAATGTTTGGCATTGAAGATTTAGAATCATAATTTAACAGAGTTGGAAGGAAACTCAGAGGTAATTGAATCTAATTGCCATCTTTTACAAATCACCAAGACCTAAGCAAACCAGTTGTCAAGTTGACTCTACCCCAATGAAACCAAACCCAACCAACCGTTGTTGAGTTGATTCCAATTTATGGCAACCACACATGGGTCAGAATAGGACTGTACTCCACAGGGTTTTCAGTAGTTGTGAGCTACAGAAGTAGATGATATTATCTTTCTTCTAAGTGCATTTAAACCACCAGTCTTTTGGTGAGACGCTTGGTACTACCCAGGGACTCTTGATTCAAAGAAGGAGGCATATTAAGTAATTTGCTCAAGCCCAAGTTAAATAGCACATAAAATGTCTTGATGGCTGCCTCAGATCTACAGGTTCTAGCTTTGTTGTTGTTATGTGCCGTGGAGTCGGTTCTGACTCATAGTGACTCTGTACGGGGTGTACGAGGCTGTAAATTTTTACAGGAGCAGAAAGCCTCCTCTTTCTCCCGTGGAACAGCTGGTAGTTTCGGACTGCTGACCCTAAGGTTAATAGCCCGATTCGTAACCACGACGCTACCAGAGCTCCTTATGGGTTCTAGCTTTAGTAAGGAAAATAAGATGCTTTATGACCCAAAGCCCACCTCCTAGCCTAGTCTCATTGTCTGCCACTTTTAGTTTCTTAGTGAAACAGAGCACCCACTTATAAGCCTTTGCCCAAGCTGTTCCTGCTATCTTGACTGCCCTCCTCACTTTAGACCTGGTAAACTTTTACCCTTCGTACTCTCCATGAAAGGAGCTCTGGTAACATAGCGGTTATGAGTCAGGCTGCTAACCTCAAAGTCAGCAGTTCGAAACTATCAGCTGTTCCGTGGGAGAAAGATGAGGCTTTCTGCTCCTGTAAAGATTTACAGCCTCAGAAACCCTATGCAGTGTCGCTATGAGTATGAACCAACTCCATGGCACATAACCACCACCATCACCACTCTCCATGACACCCCAGGTTGACTTCCTTCAGGCTTCTGTGTGTCATATCTGCTCCAGAGCCACTGTGGCCATGATTGTAATGTCTATTTATATGACTTTGTGCATACCTACTAAATGTGCATCCCTGAAAACAGGCTCTTTTTAGCTCTAGATTCTTAGTACCCTGCATGGAGCTTGGCCCTTAGGAATAGGTGTTCAAGAAATGCTTATTGAATAAGGGAAACACAGCCAGTTAATGGCAAAGCCAGGCTTCAAAGAAGATCCCCTGATTTGCTGTTTTCCACTCATTCCTTTCCTCCTGGTTGTTTCTCTCTGATTAATGACTTCCTCCATGACTGCTTACTCACTTGTTAAAACAGTTCTTCTTTACACATGTTTGTGATAGCAAATACATAAAGAATGTGCCTTTCAAACGTATAAAGAGCACAAGGACGCAAAAGATTGTTATTGTAGTCAGTGGGAGCTCACTGGGGCCAAAGAGGCCAGTTCCTTTGTGAAGTGGTGTACAATGCAAGCAATCAAGCCTGGAAATGGCTCCTTTTCCTGTTTATAAATCTGTGTTCTTATTCAACCTGCTCCTCTGTTGCTGGGTCAGCCATGTTTGTCCCTCCCTCTGACACTTTTATAATACTGTTTTTCCTTAAAACTTTATGCCACAAATTCTGATATGACCAGGGCTACAATACGACTTTGGTAGACAATAGCCTGGTGTGGCGCTGTAGGATAAAGCACTGGACCATAAGGTCAGTTTGAACTACAAGATTGGCAGTTCAAACTCACCAGTCACTCCTCAGAAACCCTATACAGGGTCACTATGAGTTGGAACCTACTCAATGGCACTTAACAACAACAACCGCCATAAAAAAATATTAAAAATTAAATTTTACAGCTGCATTGGTGTAAAGATGAATAATATAATAATATGATAAGGAGCTCCAGTGGCTCAATGATTAAGCGCATGGCTGGTAACCAAAAGGTTGGCAGTTCCAATCCACCCAGCAACTGTGTAGAAGAAAGACTTGGAGATCTTCTCCTGTAAAGGGTATAGCCTAGAAAACCCTATGGGGCAATTCTACTCTGTCACATGGGGTCGCCTTGAGTCAAAACCAACTCAATAGCAGCTAAAAACAACATGTTGATATTAAAATTTTTCTTGTCCTAGAAGCAAATTATTTTAAAAGACATTAAAACATTTTTGTGAACCTCTAAAAGAACTGAACCACAATGTCAGTGGTTCAAACTCACCAGCTGCTCCTTGGAAACCCTATACAGGGTCACTATGAGTCGGAACCGACTTGACAGCACTTAACAACAACAAGTATTATAAAGAGTCCTGGTAGCATAATGGATTATGAGCTGGGATGCTAACCACAAGGTCAGTAGTTCGAATCTACTCCACAGGACAAAGATGAGGCTTTCTGCTCCCATAAAGATTTATAGTCTCGGAAACCAAACACAGGGTCACTACGAGTCGGAACCGACTAGGTGGCACACAGTCACCATCGTCAAAAGTATTGTGGGCCTGTATCTACTGGGCCTAATGGATAAGTGTTAAGTGCCACTGAGTTGGTTCCGACTCATAATGAAACCTTCTGCAAGCTTTCCAAGAAGTAGCTGGTGTGTTTGAACCACTGATCTTGTGGTTGCAGTCCAGTGCTGATCCTACAGTGCCACATCAGGAGAAAAAACAGGTTCTGAATATCTCAGTTTAAGCTCTGACTAAAACCTTTTCTAGACTATGATGGTGTTTTTAAAATAATGCCTGGCAGTGTTCTCCTACCTTAACACCTTACAATCCTTAACTTCTCTCACTGACTCTGTATTGTTGTAGCTGTTAGGTGCCATTGAATCTTTTATGATTCATAACGACTCTACACACAACAGAATGAAACAATTGTTACATGTGAGCATGGTGTTGCTGCCACTGTTCCATCCCATTGTGGTCCACCCAAATTACTCAGAGTTAGGTGATGGGTTAAACCTAAACTTTACCAGAAATCAGAGCACTGAAGCAAAGGACGTGAGCAGCTCGGAAGACCACTCTCTGAATCATCCGGTTCCAGTTGGCTTTTAGGCAGGTAGCCTGAAACAAAGACAAGAAAATTTGCTTTTAGTATCTATGTGTAATCAACATGATAAAAAAAAAAAAAAATCCTACTTCCTAATAATTATGTTGCTATTAGTTGCTATCAAGTAAGCTCTGACTTTTGGTGACTCCAGGAACAACAGAATGCAATGTAGACCTAAGCCATCTTCCCAACCATTGGTATGTGCATACTCCAATCCATTTTGCTGCCCCTGCATATCTTGAGTGCTTTTCAACCTAGGCGGCTCATCTTCAGACAATCTTCTGCTGTGATCCACAGGATTTTTACTAGATAATTTTTGAAAATAGATTACCAGGTCTTTCTTCCTAGACTGTCTCAGTCTGGAAGCTTCTACTGAAACCATGGGTGACCCTGCTGGTACCAGTGGAACTTTTAGCATAACAGCAATATGGCAAACCACCACAGTTTGCCAAACTGACAGGCAGGTGGTGGTAGCCGTTTTGGTATAGATATTATTTTTTTTATTTTTTTTTGACTGTTTAAACTTTGCATATATTTGAAACAGTTACTAAAACATAACAAAAAAAATCAAACCTGCAACAACAATAATACCACTAATTCAGCCTTCTTTCCCAATGGCAGACAGTCTATCACCTGGCAAAAGCTGGGGAGATAAATCCTAGCATATATAGAAATTCTTAATTACTATGGGCTAGTAACTGTCTACACTCATGGAAGCAGTAGTCAAGAGATCAACGACATATTGCATTAGGCAAATCTGCTAATAAAAAAAGACCTTTTTAAAGTGTTAAAGAGCAAAGATGTCAGCTTGAGGACTAAGGTGTGCCTTACCCAAGCCATGGTACTTTCAATAACCTCATATGCATGCAAAAGCTGGACAGTGAATACGGAAGACCATAGAAGAATTGATGCTTTTGAGTTACGATGTTGGAGGAGAATATTGAAAGTGCCATGGGCTGCCAAAAGAACCAATAGATCCATTTTGGAAGAAGTGCAGCCGGAGTGCTCCTTAGAGGCCAAGATGGCCAAACTTCGTCTCTCATACTTCGGACATAGTGTCAGGAGGGACCAATCGCTGGAGAAGAATATCATGTTTGGTAAAGTGGAGGGTCAGAGAAAAAGAGGAAGACCCCCAACAAGATGGATTGGTCAAATGGCAGCATACAGGGTCACTATGAGTTGGTACCAACTCAATGGCACCTAACAACAATAACAACAACAACAAATGGGCTATGGAGTCCTGGTGTGGTGCTGTGGGCCAATGCATTAGACTGCAAAGTTGTTTGAACTGCAAGGTTGGTGGTTCAAGCTCACCAGCTGCTCCTCGGAACCCCTATACAGGGTTGCTATGGGTCGGAATCGACTTGATGGCACTTAACAACAAAAATGGTGTAGTGATGGATGATAAAAAGATATGATGTGGGGTGTATAGACTGGAGTGCGAGTGTATGTGTGTGCTGATGTACCTCTTACTACAAACTGATGCAACTCAAACCAGTGCAAGTCTCAAGATAGTGGAGTTATCTTTGTATATACAGTTTAACCCATTTTTATTTCGGGGTTTCTGAACACTGACTTTGATAAGTAGGCCTATTTTGTGTTCTTCTAAACAGACATTAGTCTGCTGGTCTCTGTGGGAACTATTGCCAGACACTGTGAGCATGATAGCATTATGATTTATGGTACTGCTGCTTTACACAGTAAGTATTTGTTGTTGTTGTTGTTAAGTGCCATCGAGTCGGCTCTGACTTATAGCAACCCTGTATAGAGTTTCCAAGGAGAGGCTGGTGAATTTGAACCACCGACCTTGAGGTGCAAACCAACCTTGCTATTCAGTGAATTATCCCACAGTGCCATACCAGGACTCCTACAGTAAGTATTATAGTCCCTTAATGGGAACTTCACTCCACTGAGTTCTATTCAAATTGTGTTGTATCACCAACTGTTCTTACTACCATATTTCTACTCAGTACCCACAAAGTACCATGCCAGATGCTATAGAAATCTTTAAACCAAGATGTGCACGACTTCCCAAGGAGTGTACAAACAAGGAGAGACTTAAGTCAATCTATTTTCAGATTCTCAACTTCCATATGCATTTTTTCCTAAAGTCAATCTGCCTAGGAATACTTCCTTCTGGCACTTTATAAAAGAAATCATATGTATTCTTACTAATCAGACTTTTTTTTTTTTTTAATAATAAGACCTTGCTCTGCTATGTTTAAAAAAATGTTTTTGTTCCAAAAGAGAGACAATTTAAAATATTGGTATATGTAGTCAGAACTTGAAAGCTTCAAATGATAATGTGGCAAGTCCCTTTTCCAAGTCAGTGGTTCCTGCTTCTCTCACTAAAATTGAGGGAAATTAAGTTGTTAGTTGTTAAACCACTGGTTAAACTTTGGTGATAAATCATGATGTAATATTTGAGCATATAACTTGGAAGGAGTTCAAATAATTGAGAGATATTACTATAATAAAATCTTCATTCACATAGATCAAATTTCCCAATGGTTAAGGAGTCCTGGTGTGGTGGTGCTGTAGGATAAGCATTGGATGACTAGCCACAAGGCCAATAGTTCAAACCCACCAGTTGCTCCTTAGAAACACTATACAGGGTTGCTATGAGTTGGAACTGACTCAAGGGCACTTTATATCAACAGCAGCAACAAAGCTATGAAAGTGAAATATAGGAATAGAATTGATGCCGAACCTATCTAACTTTATTAAGAAAGCCCCTCTTCTCATTTAGAGATGCATCTTCAAGAGACTTTTCAATATAAAGTTTGTTACTTATCAAAATTTGTATTATGTCCATGCTATTTTGTGTAATTGTTTTATTAAAAGTAATTTTTAATAAAAACTTAATCAAGAACAAAAAAATTTTTTAGCATGTAGGGACTTATGGCTTCACAAATTAAACTATTTTAAATATCTATTTATTTATTATAAAGAAATATGATAGGGTAATTAAAATAAGACTTCCAGCTTAAAAACATTTTAACATATTATGTTTAAGTTTTTAACATAATATGTTAAAAACAATTTTTAATTTAAATTTAATTTTTAAATTTTTAAACTAAAAACAATTTTAATATAATATGTTAAAATTCCACAGGGAAAATAGACTAGAAATAAGTATTAGCGGAGAGAAGACAAATAGTGTCAAATTTCCTGTCACTAAAGAAGAGCATATTCATAGTTTTGTTTTATTTTTAGTGTTGAGGCTTATCAGATCACCATCGTATTTAATTCCACTGGATACATTTGTAATGTAATAACTTAACAAGGGAGAGTCAAAAAGTATTGTTACAAAATCATAGCAGTCTTTATATTAAACAAAAATATCAAAATGAAGCTATTATTTCTTAATACATCCTCCATCTAAGGCTTTGCACTTCTGAGTCTTAGTGTGATGCTGTAGGATAAGCACTGGACTACTAATTGCAATGTTGGCAGTTTAAATCCACTAGCTGCTCCTTGGAAACCCTATATAGTATCACTATGAATTGGAAATGATGGCACTTAATAACAACATCCCTTCCTTGAAATATTCTGTTCTCTTCAATTTGTTGTTGTTACTGTTACGTGCCATTCAGTCGGTATCGACTCATAGAGAATCTATGCACAACAGAATGAAACACTGCCCGGTCCTGGGTCAACCTCACAATTGTTACCATGCTTGAGCCCATTGATGATTTACACCATGTCAAAATAGCAGAATTGGGATCCTCAAGGGACTCAAGTTGTGTTCCTTTGAACTATTCTTTGAATTTGAGCAACAAAAAGAAGTTTGTAGGGGCAAGATCATGGCTGTAGGGTGGGTGGGGCAAGGTTTCCCACTGAAATTCTCATAGGATAGCCCTTGTAGTTGTTTAAGTGCCAACAAGTTCCCCCCACCGCCTCACAGTGACCCAGTATAGGGTTTCCAGAGCAACTGATTAGTCTGAACCAATTACCTTGAGGTTCAAATGACCTTGCAGCTCAGAGCTTATCCTATAGTGCTACACCAGGACTCCAGGACAGCCTGCAAGAATGAGCAGATGCATTGTCATGATGGAAAAATTCTTCGGGGCAAGTTTCCTAACCAACACAACTTTCAGTTTCTTTTAAACGTCTTCAGAATAAGCCCTGTGATCATCCTGTGTTCTTCAAGAAAATCTCTCAAGGTAACTCCTTTGGAATCCAAAAATATAGTTGCCATAACCTCTCTGCCTTGAATGTATCTGGTCCAGTAGGACCCCTTGGAAGCTGCTGTTTTGATTGGACCT